ATATCACCTATTACTTCGCCTCTAAACTTCGTTGTAAAATTAGTTGCTTGAATCTCAAAATTTGGAAGCATTTTTCATTAATTAAAGAATTAGTTCTAGCGGTCAGATTAAGATTTAAAATGGTGCCTATGGTAGTAAATTTTTCAACTACAAAAGTGGCAGCTTATTTGGAAAGGTTGCCTCCTGATATGGTAGTAAATAACAAATAACAATAACATAAGAATGTCCAAAACTTTGAAATCTTCACAAATGGAGGATAACAAAAAACATTGTTGATTTTATTAAACGTTTTTTACATAAAAAAAGCCTACGAAGCCCTAGAATAAAAGAAAACAAGTCTTCATGAATGCACATTTCAAATAAAACTTTAAATAACAAAATAATTCCCAAAACCTATCAGTCAAAAAAAAATTCATTTCAAATCAACAATAAAAATAATTGATTGCTGGTTGGCGTTCATACATAAATCAATTTCAGATGCAATAGTAGTTTAAAATGTTCGAAAATTTTTAAAACATTCTCAAACTGGTTTTGGCATTTTAATGAGTTTGCAGCTACATCCCGTGTCCAAGTTTTGTTTTCCAGAGGTTAAAAAGAAGTTTGTCTTTCTTTCGTTAGTTACTTTGGCTCTACCGAATGAGAAAATAATTTTTCGTGAAATAATAGTATTTTTTATTTTCTATGTACCTATTTTTATATTATATTATATTTAATCCTGCAATTAGCAAAATTCTTTTGTGTAATTGTGATTATAAATAATTTTTATTTTATCTTCTAAACGTTCGTATTTTAGTAAATTTTCATTGCTTTACTTCGCATATAATGGCTCTGTTTATTTTATCTTGTCTTTTAGGTAATCGATCACACATTGAATAAGCCTAACACTAACAATTAAATTTAAAAATTATATAATTCATAATTAAACTATAAAATAAAAGGGCTGGCGTTTTGGGTTGGAATTAATTTATATTGGCTTTTATAAATTCTGAAAACACCAACAACGTGATATTTTTTCACATTCTAACAATTCATTTTCATCGTTTAAATTTATTGACGCATTCTTATGCTGCTGTTAAATCTCGATAAATTTTTCTAATTTTCCACCCAGTTCATCCTATTCGTTTAATAACTTGGTTCGTTCTTTCAAAAACGTTGTCAATATAAAACAGACATCTTGTAGAAGAACATTAACAATGTAGAACATGTTTTATAAACAACGGCGATGTGTTAAAGATATTTGAATAATTTATTCTTTCGTTTTACAAGATTTGTTTAAACATTACCAAAAGATTTAACATTCACCATAATTACAACTGTTAGTCTTAAATTTGATAAGCTTCATGAGGTAGAAGATGGATAGAGCAGACGCAATCAAATGAGAACCATCAAACCCCATGTAAAAGTGTTTGATCGTCAAAGTAAAAATTCTGGCAGAATATCTCGCCTGAAACGTCTTACAAATAGAATACGATAATAAGCTTATTTGTGGCGCTCAATTAATTATCAACCCAAGATAAAGGCAAGATAAAGGCAATTCAAATTGTTAACACTTCGTGTTAACAATTTGAAAAATTGTTGGTAAAATCTTTATGACATTTTTACAACCCCATTTCTAACGTTTTGAAAGAATTGTTGCTTATACACAACTTATTTTTTTTTCGATCTAAATTATAAAAAACTCCAAATTTTATGATTGAATTAATTAAATTATAATTTGGTTCTCTATAGAGTAATGAATGCATATACAAAAACATGAATAAACTTATTTGTTATAATAAACGATAGCTCCATACCGCTAGTAAGTTGTTTTCCATTCAGTGATACTTGAAAATACATTTCTCTCTCTCTCCGTCTCCTTTCTCCCTCCTTCCCTACCTCCCTCTCTCTCTCACTCTCTCTATCTCTATCTATCATTATAAATTATCTATATGTATATACGCTTATTCTCATTTTGATTATTTATTTATTTATTTGCCTAAATCTTTGTTTTATAAAATCTCAGCCAAAATTTGTTAATAGCGTTTTTAATTTTGTGTGATTTGAATGAATTTCAATATTTTTTAAAAATAAACTTGGCATTTTCAATTTAATTGATATAAAAACCATTTAAAAGTTAGTGGGAATGGAAGGGAAATTTATTTTTTTGTTTGATCAATTCGATATAAATGAAAATGTTGAAGCAGTAGTAAATACAAGAATAACAACTAGATGTTGGCATGGTTATTAATTCTTCTGTCAGTAAATTTTGTCCCAATAAATTTTGTTAACTAAAATATTGTAAGTTAGCAAAAAAAGAACTTAATGAAACAGCTATGGTGAAGATTGCAATGAAGAATTTTTATATATTGTATGTATGCAGCTTAAACAACTTTAGCTTGGGGGCTTGTTTTTACTTTTGCATATCTGTTCTTTTGTGTTTGTGTTTTTGTACTTTACTCATAATGTGATTAGGAATATTCTACTACTTCATCATTTCTATTCTCATCATCAACATCAATTCTTCTTCATCTTCATCATGAACATCAACATAGCATCAACAACTTTCATATTCTGCTGCTTTGCTATGCTATGAAGCAAGGCTTGCGTGCAATGAAAAACTTAAACATCATTATTATCTACAAACCTGAGTATATAAATATATATATGTGTGTGTGTGTATATATATATATATATATATATATATGCATGTGTGTATGTATGTATGCATGTATGTATGAACCCGTTTTGCATGTATGTATGTATGTATGATGTATGTATGAATATTTTTTTATGCGTTTATTGTTGGATGTATGCAAGCTTTTATGATGATAAAAAACTTGTATGTAAATTACTTCAAACTGATCGCATATGTTGAAAATTTATACTGTTTAAAACGAAGTCAAATCATAGAATTTTTTTCAACGTTTTGACTGAATTTAATTTGTAGGTGTTGATATAGTTATCCAACTATATATATGTACACATATATATACATATACCTATATATATATATGATGAATGCAAACATACATATAAAACTTGCATCTTCAGTACAAGTATATATATATAAACACAAAGTAAACACAAGCATATCATAAAACATCACACACATATGTGCATATATTTATATATAAATATAAATAAATATATGTATTCACTAGTATATATATATATATATATGTATATATATATTAATACAGAAAATTTATTATGTGTGCTATACGTGCAAGTATCCTATGACAAACAATATCGGCATATATGTACGTATTCAATATGTTACCTATATATATATATATATATATATATATATATATATATATAAGTATATATTTATATGATTATGGGTATAGTAACGTAAGTCATTATGTATATGGCGAATGAGTGCAGCCGCAAAAATAAGTTGAGTTGTATTAATAGTGCCATATAAGCAAGTGTAAGAATTTGTTGGTGAAATAGGTTGAACGTCATCGGAGCCCAACCAGTTCAACATTTATTCTCGTATCGTTAGCAACCTTTCTTCTTTTACCAACCTCGTTGCCAAAATACGAGCAATAAAAATTGAGACCAGTTAGGTTGGTCGCATCTACGTTTCGTTTGATAATATTTTATTTAATTTTTTTTTCCAAATTTATTAGTTTCGTAAGTTTGAAATTATTGCTCACTATTTATTAAAAAGTTTAACGCTAATTTTGCATCATTTCAGAAACTGTTGAACCAACGACTTTAATTGAATTTTGATTTCAGATCCACTAAACACATTCGAAATGGTTAGTCAATTTAAAAATTAAAATTTAATCGTTTTCAATAATATCTTCTTAACTAGGTGTGCAATGTTTTCGTAAGTGCATGTTGTTATTCCATTCTTATTCTAACGTGAGACAAAGCTCAAATGATTCGATATCGCGTTATGAATTTCAAAGTTTCTGGTAAAAAAAATAAGAATAATGTAAAATATACAACATAGCATACCAGAGCAAATGATTGAATATATGAATGTAAATAATTTCTTGTTGTGTAGAGGTACGGACGAATATTATTTAAAACATTGAAGATAGGTTAATAAGAAACTCATTTCCATTCTAGTAATTTTATTCAGATAAATTTTACGCTGGGTTGAATTTAAACTTTCTTAAATTCCTAAAATTGTTTTTTACAGTACAACACACTTAATTATCTGAAAAAACTTTTAAATTAGAGGATCCATTATTTATTAATTACCTTAATTGCATTGATTTTTAAAACTGAGTTCTTATCTGCATGGGCATTAGTTCAATAAATTTATTTCATACATTCCATGATTCAATTTTATATAAAAACAACATTTGAATAAAATAAATTTGTTCAAATTTAAATTTTATTGCAAATGATTATATTAAAAAAGGAAATAATAAAGGACATAATTTGTAATTATTTATTCACATAGGCTGATCTCAGTGCAACAGAAATTGAAGGTTTCTATTCTCTTACGTTACTATTCATTTCAATAACATTTTATTTCACATTTAGCATCCGATAATCTATATTGTCGAAAGAAAGGATGGTAAGATTGTGAGATGCACCAGATATTTTGCTTACATATTTGAAATCGCTTTTAAACCAGTTTCAAAACAAGTTTGATGCAACTCGGGTGGAAAAATTAATATTTATTCGATTAATTCGATTGCACGATATTTTTTTATATTTTCTTATGTGGAATTATTTGGTCTTTACTACAAAAATTAAAAAATAGATAAACTAGATAAAAAATAAAAAACTTTTTGCAAATTTTGAATGAAAACAATGCAAAATGAACAGGCGAAGGATAAGGCAGCAACTGCAGATGTTGTATAATTTTCAAGAACGTTATAAGGGCAACATCATGGACATTGATAACAAATCAAAATTAGGATGAAACGGATAAGAAACTTTGAAATATATTAGATTTTAATAAAAATGAATGACAGTCTAATGTAATAAATGTATTAAAATTAAACCATTTAAATTGTCTGCAAGCATTCAATAATTTTAAAATGTCGTGAACAGATGTACGTGAAGTCTTTGACTTGTTCGATTTCTGGGATGGTAGGGATGGTATGGTTGACGGTGCGAAGGTTGGTGACTTTTTGAGGTGCTGTGGACTCAACCCAACAAACCATGTTGTCAGCTCAAATGGAGGAACACAAAAATTCGGTAATATTATTTGCTATTATGCCGAAATATCCATGTTTAGTTTTGTTTCTAACATTTACAATAGTAGCTACGGAAAAACTTATTTGAAAATGTCAACCAAAATTAAAAACTTTGTAGTAGGTGGGTTCAGATTTGCCTAGGTTAGTTAAAATTTTGATAAACTCCTTGCCAGGTGAGAAACAGTACAAATTCGAAGAAATCCTGCCGATCTACAAAAATGTGAGCAGTGAAGCTGAAGCTGGAACATTTGCCGACTTCATTGAAGCTTTCAAAACTTTCGACAGAGAGGGCCAAGGATCCATTGCCGCTGCTGAACTTAGACTTGTTCTCTCAAATTTGGGTTAGTTAGCTCTGCTTCTTTTTAACCTTTTTTAATTCTTTTCAAGGCAAACCCTTTTATTTTCAATATCCGTAAGCTGCTTAAAAAATTAAGGTTTATAAATGAGCAAGTCGATTTAAAAATTACAAGAGTCGTTGTAATGAATTTGCATTATAAAAAATCGTTCCAAATACCCACGCTCTGTTTTATTTTTTTACGCAGCATTGACAGGCGCAGAACCGCTTACATATATATCATTTCTTACTAAGTTGCAGTTAAACCTTTTGGCTACAGTACAAACCACAACACATGGTGTATACATAAATCTTCGTGTAGGCGCTCGCAATCATCGCATCATACATCAAATTTTGAGCAAAAATCCTTCAAACCTGGTCATCGCTCGATAGCAAAGAAGCGAGACATTCCCTACGGTCTGAACCAACCGAACAACCCTAAATCAAAAGAAAAATTAACTAAACAAGCAAATATGCGAAAATTTCACAATGCTTTATCCATATATCTTAATAAAAGAATGGCATATAAATAAAATTTTCAGGTGAAAAGTTGACTGATGCTGATGTGGAACAAATCTTCAAGTTCACGGGCACGGAAGAGGATATTGATGGCAACCTCAAATATGAAGGTAACTGACTCATCTGCTTGTCTCCGCTTAAAATAATAATACTGTTAAAGTTCAATCATAATAATAATATTATTTTCATTATTACATAATTTTATAATTTTTTAAATTATTTCATTTATTTAAAATTTTAATTTTAGTACACATTGCTTAATGTAGTTTTATTTTTTCAGAATTCATCAAAAAAATCATGGCTGGCCCAGATGCCAAGTAGAGCTGATTTGAGATATGATGTGTATTGAATGTTCATTTTGAATTGTGTTTCATGTCACTAATCATTTTAATTATCTAACTTCAAAGCAATAATGTAGTGAAATAAAGTATTTCCATCACGTTCATTTAAATAAAACTGGTCTTAAAAGGTTTGATGTGTTATCCTTGGTTTTCAAGTTTTCAATTTATATGAATGGCAAAAGTTAAGATTGTTTAAATCTGAAACGCTATAATGTTAACATTTTCAATTACGATCAAACATTCACAATTCAGGCAATTGGATCATTAAAATTATTAAAAAATTTTAATCATTTTAATAATTTTCTGGAGTGAAAAATTTTTAAAAATTTTAAACACTAAAAAGTTTTATTATTAACCTGGCAGGCAATGATGGCAGTTATTTACTTTTTCCGTTTATTTTTACTTATTTTAAAGATTACTAATTATATTGTATTTAGAAACGTTGTCAAATGTAAGACTATGCTACCATGTTGGCATTATGAAGGAATAAAATGATTTGATTGCTGTTTATGACTTAATGAATCAACCAACTTAATGTTTAACCAAGCGAGCGTTTGTGTTAAAAAATTTCAGAAATGAACACAATGGACATGATGCAAAGAATTTTATAATTTCAAAAAATCATCAAAATTAACTTAAGCAAAAATGTTACTTTTGAAATATCATCCATAGTGGCGCCTACTTTGGGAAAAAAATTTGTGGAAAGGGAGAATGTAAGTAAACTTCAAACTATTGGTAATAAAGATGAATTACAGAATTACCGTCCGATTTCAAATTTTTGTTTTATATCTGAAATTGTTGAACGTGTGTTGGTGATTCAACATTCAAGATATTTAGATTTGAACTGCCTGATGCCTGTCAACCAATCAGGCTATAGACGGCACATGTTTTGTTAGGGATATACAAAGCCGTTGATGAACAAAAGACTTCACTCTTGTCATTCTTTGACATGAGTGCCGCGTTTGACTGTGTGGCCACCAAATCCTGCTGGATAGACTATGGTATGATTATGGGGTAACCTGTGTTCCAGCCGCATGGTTCAGATCCTAATTACATGGACGAACACAGGTGATACTTTTTAATAATAAACTATCTGGTGTCGGTGCAATTTCATCTGATGTTCCGCAGGGTTCAGTTTTGGGACCTATTTTGTTTATGCTATATACATCGAAAATTTTGAGGTTCATTGAAGCTAGTGGTTTTAAACGTTATGCCTATGCGGATGATATTCAAGTAATACTCACGAGCAAACCAGAATTGCTGGAAAACGAGGTTCAGAGGTTGGTTAAATGTTTGTCGGATATTGATACGTGGATGTCAAAAAACAGGTTAAAATTGAATCAGTGTAAAACCAAGTTTTTGCCATTAGGTACACGGTGGCAATTGGCTAAGATTAGTATAAATTCAGTATATGTCGGTGGTCAGCATATAGAATTTTCTGAACATGCCATTAACCTGGGCGTTGATTTGGATTCAAAATTGTCCATGAAAAATCATTTGAGAATGATTTTATCATCATGTGCACATTAACTTCATAGACTATATCGTATTCGCAAATATTTGGCTGAAACTACTGCACGTACCCTGGTACATGCATTCATTCATGCCCGGGTTGATTATTGTAACAGTCTGTTCTACGGTTTACCTGATAAATAAATATCCGTGCTTCAATCCATTCAAAACAGTGCTGCGAAAGTTGTTGTTGGAGGGTCAAAGTTTGACCATGTGACTCAGACATTGAAGGATCTCCATTGGTTGAATGTTAAAAAGCGAATAATCTTCAAAATATTCGTTCTGATGTTCAAGGCCATGAACGAACAATTGCCTGTACACTTGTTGAATGAACTTAAAAAGAGATCTGCGGTTTCTTAAAGCATCAACTTGAGAAGTGATTGTTCAAATCTGATGATGATTAATAATGCTCTGTTATGTACAGGGGCAAGAAATATTGGTGTGTTTGGTCCAAGGGTCTGGAATGCACTTCCTGGATCATTGCAAATGCGAATTTTCAGGAAGAACTTGAAGACATATTTATTTTCAATATGATTAACTATTGACACTTTTAGGAATATTGTAAAGACATATTTTCAATGTGATTTTCTTTTTTTCCATGACTATCTCAGTTATTTTTGTCTTCGTTTTTGAACTTACTGGTAGCGCTTATGAGAATTTTTTTAATTGGCGCTTTATATAAATTTATCATATTAATAATAATAATTGGTGTTGGGGTAAAATGTTTTGTGTGGAAAACTTAAATTTGTGTTCAATCCATGTACCCTATAATTAATCAATCATGGATGATTATTTCTTTTGTGACAAAAAATTTAAAAAAATTCAGAGGGCAGCAATATTGCTTTCCAGCGATATATATTATGTTAGGGGCAAAAAACGTTACAACTCCTCAAAAACACTTTAAAAATGAGTTATGTCAATTTATTTAATTTTAACACGATCAACCAAGGTGGTTTGCTTAACGATTTCTACTATATAATATAAAATTAAAACAATCACAACATCAGTGAATATTTTCAATCAATCAATTAAACAATCAACCAATCATAAATCAATCAACCTTAACTAACCAACCGAACCGAATAATAAATGAATCAAATATTCTTGTTGAAGTAAATTTCACTTATGTTCGATTCCACGGCACTCTTCGATGAATGTTGAGATTTTGGTCTTGAGATCCACCCTGATCTTTTGTCAAAGACTAGTAAGCATTCAGACGAGGGTGAAAAGTATCAGAAATACAAACCAAAATGCAATAACAAATTTGTCAAAATATTCCCAAAATAACATGATTATAGTAGGCCAAATTTAAAAGTTTTATCAAATTTAATTTAATTTAAGTTTAATTTAATTTAATTATAATAATTTTTTTATTATCATTCAAAGTTTATGTTATATTGATGAACAGCAGGTGATTAGTAGCATCCTTTCTGTCGTAAATGTAAACAGATGAAATTAATTTATTTTTTTGATAAGTGATGGTTGGTTTTTTAATGTCACTCTTGAAATTTTATCGAAGCAACAACTTTATTAAAATTTATAAAATTTATAAAATATTTTCAAGGGGTTGATTTCAAATTGCTTCTTTGAAGTCTGAGCATTAAGTTTTTTAAGCAAGCTTCAGTGTTATTTTTTATTTTTATATTTTAAGTTTTTATTTAGTTTTCATTATTAATGATTATTTTTATTATTAATTTAAAATTGCGAGATGTAAGTAAAGCAGTTCAGCCAATGATTTTTTATATTTTTTTATTGATTTTTTTATATTTTATGTATTATAATTATATAATATATAAAATTATATAAAAATCATGCCCATACAACCTACAATCAATGTGTTGATGCATTTTATAAATGAAAAAGAAAGTTTAAAATTAAACTAAATACTACTAAAATACTAAACTAATTACTAAAGGAAAGATGTTTGAATAGTCCATTAGTAATAGCAAAGGATCAACATTGACATTCAGCATGTTTGAAATAACTTTTGAATGAGTGAATAACTTATAGAAACTAGATTACAAATTTATCCACTATCCCATATTTTTTCTTTTATTGCTGTCCGAATTATTCCTAATTTTAGAGTTAAGACTTTGCTTTGTTAACACCATAATTGCTGTTACGTGTTACCGTTACATGAAATTTTAATTAACTTTCATCAATCAATAGAGTTTTTTTGGATTTGGACAAGGAGTTGAAGTTGAAATTGTATTGGATGGGTGTGACACGAGGAAGGCCCTGGAGGTCAAGTTAGAAGATGGTCGGAAAGAATTTCACTTACTTTATCTGGATGGTGAAACTGTTTCTGGAAAGGTGTCAAATATTTTTAAATTTAATTTAAGTATAAATTTATATGCCAATTGATTGAAAATAATTTGTTCAAATTGGTAATCTTACATTTCATAGTTTTATCATCTTTCATCATTCATGTGGTTTTTGAGTGGGCTCTTATTCATGTTGTCACCATGTTGCATTCTTTTTTATTTGTCTATATTATTCTCCTTCTAATTATTTGCAGGTCAATGTTATTCTAAAGAAACCTGGAGTTAAAGTCGAGCATTTTGGGATAAAAATTGAGTTTATAGGACAGATAGGTATATTGTTGTATTTCTTGAATAACGGACTTTCACAAAATTATATGGCCTATTATTATTTAACATTACAACAAACATTTGTTTATGTATCATGACCCTACTTACGTTCCATTCTGATGTTACTGACCAATGCATGCCTTTGCTGGTCAGTCTTGCAAGACTGGATAGAAACGTTTTCAATTTTCAGTGAAAGTTGAAGATGTTTCACACAGTCTCAGTAATTGGGCTGGTGGTCACTGTGTTGAAATTTGTTTCATGTTATTTATTTCTTAACTTATTTTATGTATTTAAATCTCTGGCCGTCAGATTTATTTTACGATAGAGGCACGAGATATGATTTCACATCATTGGTCAGAGAACTTGCACGACCTGGTCAGTTTTTCAAAGTTTTGTAAAATCTGTAAATGTTGTCATTGATGTTGTTTATATGGTTTCCATTTTTATAATCGTACAATTACAAATGTTTTTCAATTCGTACAATATTCTTACAATTCCTATGCAAATTAATCATGTTGGTGCGGCATAGAGATTTCTGAACGGTGACATTGTTAGTTTTTTGTTAACACAAAAATTCAATGAAACAGCTTAAAATATTTTTATACCATGTTTGAAAATTGAATGAATAATAAAAAAAATTTTGCTTTCTGAAAAATGCATCCCTACATTTCAGGAGAACTTGTTCAGACCACCGGTTACAGCTTTGAGTTCAACCAAGTTGAGAAGCCATACGAATCCTACATTGGATCCAACGTCAGATTAAGGTTCATTTTCATATAATTATTTCTATTTTTACTAATGCAAAACAGATAGAGGAAATTGCTTAGTTCAATCTCAGTATTGTACATGTGTTAACATTTCTTCACATTTGTCTTTCTTATATGTTGAGCTCTTCCCATACTTTCTTATTCAAGCACAAATGTGTCATGAGCTTGAAAACGTCAAGAAAAATGGATTCTGCAGTTTTATGAGGAGAATTTAGAATAAATTAGAATTGCAATTTCTCTTAGATATTGGTAGTTAGTTTATCATGAATATTTGTTTATTTTTTGTGAAAAAAAATTTTTATTATAACATAATAAAGATACTTTTTGCGCTTGACAATGGTTCGAAGAATCACTGATCTAGTGAAGGAGCAAGACATTGCTGTTCAGACATTATCACATTACCCAGACCAAACTACCTCATTCAAAATGGAGGTGGGTATCGAGGACTGCCTGCACATCGAATTTGAGTACAACAAGTCTAGGTTGGTCACCATGCTAGGTTGATGCTTATCGTTGCAGTAGAATATTTTTCAATTTATAGTTCTCATTCTACATTCCATGCTAAAGATATCTAGTTAGAGCATTGTGATCAATTTGAGTAGAAGTGTTGTAGACATTATAACTGTAATATTTATAACATGTATTAACGGATGTTATTAATATTTCATTGTTGATAGTTACAATGAAAACATCTGCATTGCCACTTTATAAAACTGAGCCTCATTTTACCCATACATTGAAATACGTTATGTCTCAGAACCTAAGTAAACATGACCTGGCAATGATTTATGCTATATATAGCAACAGAAGATGGCTCGAGTTTGAGATATTGATGAAGTGTTGTTATCTGGCAGATGCACCATTTGAAAACTCTTCATGGGGTAGTAGAAGCACTGTAGATTTGATTCACTCACAATTTTGGATAGGACCTTGTAGGTGCTTGCTTAATAGTATATCTCTATGCGCCGAGTATCAATAAATGATGGTAATGGCCACAGATTGTAAAGATTATAATACCTGTAGTTTGTTCCATGTTTTAATGATTGGTATGTGATATAATATGATAGTTCATACCAGTTCGTGAGAGGATAGTTTGCGACGTGACACTTTGTGGAGGTTTTTGCTAGAATTTTTAGTGGATCAGAAAAGTGAGGGCAAGTTTGCAGTTGGAGTCGCCTAGCATGAATTATAACGTCGCTATCGTTCTGGTGCTATATTTATATATCCTGAAAATTCACAATCGATAAAAAACATTTTCATAAAATAAACCAAAGGTACGATTTGAAGGATGTCATCGTCGGCAAGATTTACTTCCTGTTGGTGCGCATAAAGATACAGCACATGGAGGTGCAGATAATCAAGAGGGAGATCACTGGATCAGGTCGGTTGGCGTTTCCATCAGTGTGGTCGGTAGATGATGTGTGTGAGGTGGTGGTGTTTTACTATTTTGGATCTATTGGTGGTCGCATTTTTTTGTTCATTTTGTCATCCTGTTTATTTATTAACATGATAATTTTTATTCATTCGCTCATTTATTCATCCACTTTTCCGCCTATTCATTCATTCATTCATTCATTCATTCATCTCCTGACAGGAACTAACATGTTCAGTGAAAATGAGACAATCGCCAAGTACGAGATCATGGACGGAGCACCAGTCAGAGGTAGTCTGATCTAAACATCTAAACCATGTAAACGTTGAATTATTTCAAAATCAAATTCGTCACTGGTAGTATTTATAAAACAGTTATTTTATAGTTTGTTATCTATTTTGTGTTTGTTTTATAGTAATAATAACATCTGATGCTTCTATTCGTCGCTTGGCATGAATCCCTCTCCTAGGAGAGAACATTCCCATCCGCTTGTTCTTGAACGGTTACGACCTCACCCCAACAATGCGTGATGTTAACAAAAAGTTTTCAGTTCGCTACTATCTCAATCTGGTTCTCATTGACGAGGAAGACAGGAGATACTTCAAACAACAGGTCTTTTTTTCTCGTTGATTGGTGGCGTTCTAGGTTTGATACATTTTAGAACCGTTTAACTATTCCCTACTTCACATTTTATCATATCTTTTACCGTTACTTATTAAACAGTTGATTCTAGCGGTAGCACCTTGCGCAAAGTTTTAGAATGAAACGTTTTGTTTGTTATCTTTATTTTCTAAAAATTGGGCGCTGTAATATTTTTCAAACAGGAAATAACACTGTTCCGAAAAGCAGACAAATGCTTCAGGAGATCAGACAGATCGGGATTGGATGGGGGTTCTAATTGCTCCACCCCCTCTATTGAACCATCAACCAATCAAAATATACCTAATGATAATCTCAACTCCGATGTGGATAATTGATATGTTCTTCATGTATCAAGTGTAATTTATTTCAGATTTTTAAGGATTTTAATCTTAAGTCAACAAAATATTTTTTATATGACGTGATTTGTGCCATATTTTTAATGTATTTCGTTCTCACACGTTCCATTTTCCCAGCCACACGTTGATTGTCGGTGCATTGTTTGAGTTTATGAAGGTTGGTGCAATGCTTTATTGTTGTGTTACGATTTGTTATCTTATCATGTTCTTTTTTTAATGTTTTGGTATATTTCCTACGCTATGTACCAACATGTTTATTATGCTATGTTTTGATGTTTCCTATGTTAATAATTGTGTTTCCATGTTGTTTGTTACATCTAGTGTAATTCTCTTTAATACTAACCATCCCACTCATGTAAAATATTTCATTTGATTCGTGTAACTTTTATGTTAGGTTAATCTTTTTAGTTGAAAATTAGTCATTGAGTTATTTATTTTTTCATACTTTTTCAGAATCCAATGTCAGTTATTGATGTAAATTTTTAGATTATATCTGAACTTATTCCTTAATTTTCAGCATTTCACCAAACTGTAAGATTGTTAATAATAAGTAACGTGAGAGGCTCATTACTGTCTGACCAGCAATGATAACGTTCATGCGCTGTCTTTGAACTTTTATCATAATTAAGTCATTTATGTTTTTTTTTTGTTTTGAATTCTATCAGTGTAGTAATCAGGCGTCATTTTGTTTCTGTTTAATGTTTTTATGATTGAAGCGACTCTTTTTTTGAGATTGAGTTTTAATTTATTTTTGTTACTTTTTGAACTAGTCAAGAAAATATTTCAATTTCATTTCTATAAATGGGCATATCTTTTTATCAACTGATTTTATTGTGCCGCTTCGGTTAATGTTCTCTGCATGTTCGGAGTACGGTTTTTATTAATGTAGAAAAATTTGTCTATTTTTTGTTTTTGTCTGATACGACACACGATGCTTTGCCGTCTATTGCACTCGGTTCTTCGATCTCATTTCATTTATTTCTCGTTATTGAAACTCAAATCTAGTTTAAGTCTAACTAAATTATAAAAGGTTACACGACAAAAAGTTATAAGTTTATTGAATATATAATATTTATGAACGTATGAGTGAATTTGTTCATATTCTTATATTCTTCTTTTAATTATTTTCATTTGTTTTGTTTTTATTTTGGCTGCTTTCCAGGGCTTCACAGGCAAGTTTATTATTCATTATTACAAATTCATGCTGCATTAATCTAGAGACTATATATCTACAAAATCCCAGTAAAATTTTCCTTTCCTGGTCAGGTCGTCATCGTGTCACGTGACCTCCGCACGTTCCCCACGTACAAGTTAACATTTATACCGAACGTCAGACTGAAAATACATTAGTCCGGCGACCCGCGTCAGATATTTTGTTTTAAATCTAAGATAGCTAGCAGGATCACCTTGGAACAGGAACATGCTACATTTCAATTCGTGTAAACTTTGGAACCCGACCTTTGCTCACTCTCTTCCTCTCTGTGTGGCTTGTTTGTGATCGTAAGGAAATAGTTTACTAAGCAAATAGACAGATAGATACTAGATACGTTGAGGTGATTCATGAATGGACTTGTACTGCACCTCCAGTGAGCACTGCATTCAGCCATTTATTTGTCTTGCATATTCTATTCTTAGTCTTTCACATTAGTTGTTATTTCGTCAAACCAATTATTATTATTATTATTCCTGTTGTTATCCCTATATGTTCATTCATGCATTAATTTCTTTTTATGCTTTCATCATATTTTTTTTATTATGTAAAATTTTATTTATTTAATACTCGTCATAATTTGAGGACTTCAATCAACACTGTTCATTGTTTAAATTAACGTCGTGATGAACATTAATGAATGTATTAATAAACATATTAGATGTTAACGTATTAAATATTAATGAATGTTAATGAGTGTAATAAATATTCACGAATGTAATAAATATTCATGATTGTTAATAAAGATTGCTTGTGTACTACTCACTCTGTTTTTGTCTTAAGGTTAATAATTTTAAATGTTAATTTTAATGCTGGAATGTTTAGCGCTGAAATAAAAGCAAGTGGTTGCCCATTTGTTTTTTTTTACTAAATTTCGTCTTACACTCTTAAAACTCATCATCATCATTATTTCATCATCATCATTATGTCAAATAAAAATTGAAATAAAGTTATAAATCTTCGTGTGGGCTTGTGTGTATGTGTGTGTGCGCGTGTGCGTGCGTGCCTGTTTGTGTGTGATTGAGGAAAGCTTAATTATCAAGTTGGAGTTGAGAGCTGTGGGCGTGAGCACTTTTGTGCTTTGACATTGATGTTTTTGTATGTCGGTTAGCTGGTTGGTTGGTTGGCTGGTTTGCTGGCTGGCTGGTTGGTTTGGTTTGTTAATTTAATTGGTTGGCTGGCTGTTTTTTTGTTTGTTTGGTTAGTTGGTCGGTTGGTTGGTTTGATTAGGTTTGGTTTTGATTTGGTTTAGTTTGATTTAGCTAGTTGGTCGGTCTCACAATTTGTTAGTAGCATATTGTAACAAATGGAGCATTTGCATTAAACTGAGTTAAAAAATTTTAAATTAAAAAATGATATTTAATTGCGTGTTACATATCAATAATAACTAACAATTTTGTAAAGACAAAGACTTGTAATTATTGACAGGCAGCAGCAAAACAACTAGAAGAACGTAGACAGATGCAAGAAGGCAAGAGGAACGACACTACAAAGAATTGAAGCCACTTAACGTAATAATAAGCCAGAACTTTGAGTATATTACATGGGTGTTAATCTGTCTGTCAAGGGGGACGCCCACTGCAATGATAAATTAATGCAAATTACAGATATTTTAACGTTGCTGCGTGTTTACGGTGTGTTTGTTGGCCTGTGTTTGTTGTGGTGTGTTTATGGTGTGTTTGTGGTGGTGTGTTTGTTGTGGTTTGTTTGTTGTGGTGTGCTTGTTGTGGTTTGTTTGTTGTGGTGTGTTTGTTGTGGTGTGTTTGTTGTGGTTTGTTTGTTGTGGTGTGTTTGTTGTGGTTTGTTTGTTGTGGTGTGTTTGTTGTGGTTTGTTTGTTGTGGTGTGTTTGTTGTGGTTTGCTTGTTGTGGTTTGTTTGTTGTGGTGTGTTTGTTGTGGTTTGTTTGTTGTGGTTTGTTTGTTGGTCTGTTTTTTTTATTTGTTTGTGGATCTGTGCTGTCATGTTTGCATGGTGCGATGTTGAAAAATGTTTCATCCTGCTGACTATTGCATTATTTGGGGTCAGATGATAATTCACATTTTGTGAAATTATCATTAATATTGGTAAATGTGATATGTAATGCTAATGCGTCCATTGTTATTCAATTGTTATTTTTCAATTTTTTCAATGTTTTTATTTCTTAATATTGAAAATTATTAAAGTATAATAATTTTTATTAATGATATAGATTTTTTCCAACTTTTAGGGTGAATATTGATATAATTTCACATACACGTATGTGGCTCGAGTGAGTTGCAGTTGGACTAAAGAGTTATTGTGTGCCGCTTGTTATATTCGCTATGAAGCAGCACTAATTATTGGTTGTTCAGTTTTAATTGGTAGGTCAAACTCAAAACACACGTTTCTCAGTAAGTTCGTGTGTACGTGTGTGTTTGTTTGTGTGTTTTAAACGTATATGATTACACACCGTTTGTGATGTGTTTTTTGTTTCTTGGAGCTATTGCCTTTGCCTGTACGACATGCGCGTGCCGTCTGTACATGTTTGTGCGTGCAGAATAAGTTTTCTTGTTTGTGTGTTTGCATTGCATGTATGTATGTGATGTGTATGTGTGATGTATGTGTGTGTGTGTGATGTGTATTAATATATGTGCGTGTGTGTGTTTTTGTGTGTGTGTTTGTTAAATTAAGAATTTGCTGAGGTCACACGCTCCGATGCCTGCGTGCAAGTTACTGTCACCCGCCTCCCAATTTATCGCCAGCAATGACGCAGACATTGACACATTAGCTTGATTGCTCTGAGGAGGAACCTTCCCTCCTTCATCTCCGTTCTTCCATATTCACATTAATTAATACATTTGTTCGTATAGTACGTAGTGGTTCATATACTACGTAGTTGTTCATATACTACGTAGTGCCATTAAATATTCGTGTGCGTATCTACGCGTATGTATTCTTTGAATCTTACACAACATAGCGAATAGTAATGTTGGTTTTTATTTTTGCAATTTCTATTTACAACATCAAGCTCCAATAAAATAAAATATTAGGATACTTATAAGACGTTCTCGTTTGGCTTTATGCCGTGCTGTTGTGTTCGATCATTCATCACATCCGGTCCTTCCTCTGTGGCATGCAACAATGAAGTTGGAATGGAATGTGTGCTGCTTGTTTGTAAACTTCTAAGTTGTAATGTTTGTGTGAATGTATAAATGAATATATATATAGATATATGTATATATATATGTGTGTGTGTGTGTACGTGCGCACGCGCGCGCGCCTGTGTGTGTGTGTGGGGGGGGGGTGAAGCTATGGAATTAAAAACTATAATTTGCTAATCATGCGAAAAATGTTCATCAAAAAAATGTTCAAAACAAATCGCAATCAATTAACAATCATAAAAATTTTTAAACTGATTATGATAGTGTTAAGCGGTTGTCAGAGACAAACTGTGTTGCATGCGAGAGGGCTAAGTGTCTCGTTTAACAGTCTATCAAAACTTTCAATACTTAAAATTACATACTGCAACATTTTAAAGCAGCACATCCAGCATAAAGGGCCTCACCAATTAATTGATAAATTGGGCCCATAATGTGCTGCAGCAGTAGAGCGCTGGTAATTACAGAGTAAGTGCTGGATTGAATGAAATTTCTGCTGCTGGCGAGGCATGGAGGCAGTCCAATTAAAGTCATTTGTTTTCAATTTATTGCAACTTCTATGCTGGCGATACTCGGCGTGGTAGTACATTCTCCAACTCCATACAACTATTCATTTCTTCGTTTCTTCATTCATCCATGCATTCATTCGTTTT